TGACCCTTCCCCTCCACCACCACCACACCGACCTGGGGCTTCAGAAGCCACCACCTCATGGAACATTCCACAGGGTGCCCCCTGGTGTCATCTTAACCGAGCCCCCATTCCCGAAGCTCCGGCTCTGGTGTCTGCACACAGCTGCTCCATCCGCCAGGCACCAGGCCCTACGTGGAAGGTGCTGAGAAGCAGCTGCTTTCTGCACACCCACCTGTTGGCACCGCCTGCATCAGCAGCCCCTCCTCGTGGCCCAGCCTCGGGGTGCACCCTGTGGGGCTGGGATGGCTGCACACACACCCCTCGGTGTCTGTGGGTCTCTGGGCCCGCCTCACTGTAGTCACGCTCTCCAGCCATGCTCACGTGGCTGAGATGTGCCAGCCAGGAGCCTCCCAGGGCGACTGCTGTCCAGGCTGTCCCTTGTCCCCACATTCCTGGCTTCCGGGACCCTGAGCCACTGCCATACCTTTGGCGTAGCTGGGGTCGTCCACATCGCTGCTGTCTGAGCCCGAGGAGGCCGTGGACTCCGCACGCAGTGGGGGCAGGATGGCACCCCCCTCCACCACGGCCTCCTGCAGCGGCAGCGAGTCGAACCTGATGGTGTAGTAGCCGCTGTCCACATCTGGGGCGGGGACAAGGACAGGCCAAGTCAGTGGCCTCAGCAGGTGATGGGCACTGCACCGAAAGTTAAGGGCAAGGTGGGGCCAAGGGCAGCCTCGCCCCCTGGGGCACAGAGCAGGGGCCACACGCCCAACGTAAGGAGTGGGTGTAGGGGTGATGTGCGTAAGGAGTGGGGGGACACGCGTGAGGGGTGGGCGTGGGGGGGATGTGCGTGAGGGGTGGGGAGGGCTTAAAGCAGGGGCCCGGTCAGGGAGCTTGTGGGCCACCTCACCCGTGACCCGTGCCGGGTACCAGAGACCATCCTGCTGCTTGGCCAGACACGCAGAGCCGGCCTGCAGGGAGCTGAGGTCTGGCTCCTGGAAGGGACGCAGCTCGGCCACAGGGACCACCTGCCCGTGGGAGAACCTGTGGAGCGGGCAGGGCGGGGCTCAGACCCGGTCCGCCAGGGCAAGCGAGCCCAGGACAACCAGGTCCGTCTGCCTGGGCATCACTCTGCAGGGAGGGGTGCTCGGGAGACAGACACACAGACGTGCACACACGCACACGCTACACATGTGCAGATATGCACGTACCAGTACACACACACACGTGCACGTGTCCATACACGTGCACAACCACGCGCACAAACGTGCGCGCACACGTGTGCACCCGTGTATACGCGGCCGCACACGCTTGCACATGCTCTTGCACCTGGGAAGGACATGGCCACTCCGAGGACAAGATGCCTCGTGCCTCTGCCCGGCTTTCTGGGAGAGGGACGAAGTGCTGGCAGGAGCCTGTGCTGACGCTTCCCCACCGCCTCTGCCCCCGGCGTGAGGCCCCAGCGGCAGCGAGTCTTCGGAGTGGGTGTGTCGTGTGCCCACGGGTCTGAGCCCCCAGACCAACCCGGAGCCCCAGCTGTAACAGTGGTGCCTTGACTTCTAGGCCCGTGAACCAGGGAAATGAAAACTGAAACAGACTGAGGGGGGCGGGGAGTGTGGGGTCCGACACAGGACTGCGCCCGAGGAGACTGAGCGCACGTCTCCCGCTGGGCCAGCGTTTCAAGGAGGAAAGCCGTCTGGCCCGATGGCAGCGACCGGGGACCGACCTACAGTCCGCGCTCCCACGGGGGACAGGTGGCCTCAGGGACCTCCTCCAGCAGGACGCTGGGCAGCTCCCTCTCACACCTGGCCGTCCTCAGGCTCACAGGGTGCTGCCAATGACCAAGTGGCACCAGCAGCTGCGCGTCTGGGCCCCGAACGCGCTGCAGTGGAGGACGTGGGTGAAAAGGCCCACTCGATGCAGGAGCAAAACCACACCCTCGAAAGGGAGGACCAAGCCCGGGGCGACTCGCCCACACAGGCCCCCACGCACGCACAGCCATGAAACCTCGCGGGGACCTTGGCGATACCGGAAACCCTCCAGTCCGGTGCAGTCCTTGACTCACTCAACGCCTGATTAAAGCGAGTCAGACCCAGCGAGCAGTTCGAAAGAGTGGCTCCAAAGATGCAGTAACCAAGGTGACCAAGATTCAGCCACAGGGATGCTAACCGGAAGCTAGACTTGAAGGCGACCGACGTTTCCAGCCAGGGGAGCGGTGAACGGCGAATCCCCAGAGTGAGTTCAAACCAGGAGACAGGCAAGCTGGCCCGTGGGACGGGGGGAACGCCGCACGGCAACGTCACACACGACAGGAAGTGCCACGAATGAGTCAGGAGACAACCATGAGCTCGCCCACGAAAGCAGGAGGGGCAGGGAGTGGGAGTCAGGGCCTTGTGCCTAAAAGTGGTGAAGCTCATCACAACAGAGAAAAGTGACAGCTCTGACAGCTGGGGGTTGTGAGCCCCCCGGGGTGCGCACTGGGCCAGCGGGTACTGAACAGGGAGACCCTGGAATGAAAGGGCCACCGAAGGGCCCCACTCCACAAATCCTGGCTCCCTTGGAAAGTACGTGCCTGCATCAGGAGCGCCGAGAGCTGCCGGGGCCCGTGGAGCAGAGTGACTGGGGGCTGGCTGCACTCAGGTGGCCCCCAGCTCCTTACATCAACTGGCTGGGGGGACCTTCAGGGAAAGAAGTGCTTGAGAGAGCCTTGGCTTAAATCGCTGGCCAGCCACTAAGCTACACAGACTCAGAGTGACTCTCACGAAGCCGTGCTAAAAGTTAAAATTAAACTTAAAGATCTGAGTCGAGATATCGGAGACTGTGCACTGGTGGGGAGACAGAATTTGTAACCTAGGTCAAGAAAACAAACTAAAATAAAACAAAATACAGGAAAACAATTCCGAACCCAGACGTGCTACAATACGTCACCTGAAATTTCTAGTTTTTAATTAAAACTTACGAGATGTGCGAATAGAAAAGTGTGGCACATATTTAGGGGAAAAAAAACAGGTGACAGACTCTGACTGAGTGGCCCAGATGGCGACTCTAACAAAGACTTCAAAGCACAGAGTCCAAGTGTGTCCGAAGAATGAATGACAACAATTCGAGAAGAGAAGTGGGAATTAGTCCCTGGCCTGGAAAGTCAGTAACCGAAATAAAAGCTTCGTTCGACGGGACGCTTCTGCTTCTGCTCTGGCATGTCGCCCCTCTGTCCTAACAAAAAGTAAAAAGTGGAACAAACTGAAAAATCGGCAGCTCTTCTTAGGTCCATAAGAGTGGTGAGGTCATAGAGCAAACTGCTGCCCCAAATTTGGAGAGTCCAACAGGTGACAGCGAATCCTCCCCAGGGCAGGACCCAGTCCCAGAAGGGGGCTCTGTGACTGCCGACTGCTGGGAGCCAGGCATAGCCAAGCCTGAGAGTTAAAACCTCCAGGGGGGCCTGTCCTCAGGGGGCTCCCACACTACTGTGAGTTTTACTCCAGGAGCCCTACCAGGTTCTCACAGAAAAAACTGGAGGAAAATCCCCCTGTGTCTTCCCTGGAAACCGGGGCCCGACTGCTGGCTTTGTCAGAGCCCAGCTGCCCCCGGGGTTAGGAAGACACCCAGTCCAGCCCTCCGGCCCTGCCTAAGCGTGTGTGCATGTGCACACGCGTGTGGATGGCCGAGATGCCCGCGTGAAGTCCACCGTCCCGAGGCCTGGGATTACGATCAGACCGGGACCTGACAGTCCCCCAGTAGTCGCCACATCACCAAAGGCTCTGTACACCAGTTCCTTTCAGTGAGTACGTCTCGTCTGGCTAGCGCGAAAAGAAAATTACAAAACGTAACCAAACGGCAAAAAACACAGTGTATCATAATATGCATAATGGAACTCCCAAAGAAGAAGAGAGGCAGAAAAAATGTTTGCAGAACTGAATAATGGCTGAAAATTTTCCAAACTTGATGAAAGACACAAATCTGTGCAGCCAAGCAGTATACACTCAGAGACCCACAGCGGGATACTTTACGGTCCAACTGCTGGGGCCCGGAGAGAGGGGGGACCTGGGAAGCAGCAGAGAAGCGACTCTTCGTGGACAAGGAGCCTGCGTGAGACTAACGGTCGACCTCTCGCCGGAAGCCGTGGAGCCAGGAGGCAGCGGGCGGCCGTGCTTAAAGCCCTGGACGGGAAATGCTGTCAAACGAGAATTGTTTCTGGCAAAAGTACCCTCGAGAAGAGAACGCAGGACATTCCCGCACGGACGAAAGCTGAGGGAGTTCGTCGCCAGTGGCCCTGCCCTACGTGACACGCCGAAGGGAGTCCCTCGGGGCGGTGTAAGGCGATCGTCGTAAATCTCTACTTCTGGGCACAGGACGTATAAAGATGGGAGCTGGAACGGTAAGTGCGTGAGGGGGGCTGCTGCGATGCTGTTGCCGCTAAACCGCAATCGCTTTCAATCAGATCGTCACGTGTGTAAGACGCGGATCACAATGCACAGGGTAACTGTGAAGGAAATAACACAAAATCAGCAGAGGAGGAAAAGAGAGGGAATCAGAATGATACGCTGGCAGAAACAGACACTAAAGGCGGCAGCGATGGAGGCGTCGAGGCACGAAACAGAGGTAAGACGTGCAGAAAGCAAATAGCAAAGTGGCAGAGACGAGTCCTTCCTTACCAGTGATTACTTTAAACGTAAATGGGTTAAACTCCCCAATGAAATGGCAGAACTTGGAGGAATGGGTTAAAAAATCATCCAACTGTCCACAGCCATGTCACCCTGTATGAGCCCGAGCCTGTCTGATCTCAAGCTAAGCGCGGGGTCAGGCCTGGTTAGTCCTTGGATGGGAGACCACCTAGGAAGACCAGGTGCTGTAGGCGTAAAAACTAAAAATAAGGGATCGTAAGCTGACGAGTTCCTTGCAATATGTGAGGTCAACCAAGGGTTGCCTCGCCTTAAGAAAAAGAGAAAGAAAAGAAAAAAAAGAAACTCTCCAACTATATGCCATCTGTAAGAGACCCATTTTGGATCCAAAAACGATAGATCGAACGAGAAGGATGGAAAAAGGTAATCCGTACAAACAGTAACCTAAAGAGAGATGACTACAATAATGTTACACAAAATAGAGTTTAAGTCAATTTGAAAGAGACAAGAGATTCGAGAGACAAAGGAGGCTGTCACATACTGACGAAAGGGTCCATCCAAAGAGAATGTGTAGGAACTGTAAACACGTACACACCAACAGCAGAGCCCCCAAAATACACGCAATGAAAATGGACAGAATGGGAGGGTGAAATAGGCATTTTCACAGTAATAGGCGGAGATATCAGTACCCACTTTCCACGACGGACGGAGAAAGCAGCAAAGATCCTGAGGGACAAGGACCCGAACACCACAGACCCGCTGGCCCTGCAGGCGTCTGCGGAGCAGCTCTCCCATGACAGCGGGCGCCACGTCCTCCCCGAGCTCATGTGGGGTGCTCTGCGGGGCGCGGCCCGTGCTGGGCCTCAAAACGCATCTCGGTAAAGTTTAAAACTCCAAAATCACCCCAACCGCGGTGGGAGGAAAACGGGAATCGGCAACAGAAGGAAATCTGGAGAGGCGACAAACAGGCGGGAACTCGGGGACACACTTCACCGCTGGGTGAGGGAGGGGCCAGACAACGCTTGGAGCTGGGGGGAATGGGAGCGCAGCACCCCGACTCGTGGGCTGCAGGAAAGCGGGGTCACCGGGGAATCGAGGGCTGCCGATGCCTGCAGCAGAGAAGAGGGAGAATCTCGAGTCAGAGCCTGGCCGTGCACCCTGAAGAGTTAGAAAAAGAGCAAACTAAACCCAAAGCCGCTCGAAGAAGGGGGTGCCAGCGGTCAGAGAGCAAACGCATGAAAGAAGAAAGACCACATGGGGTCGACACCCCGCGCGCCCACAGAGAGTAACAAAACCGATCGAGGACAGACAGCACTGCAGCGACGCCTGCCGGGACCGTGGGGACACGGTGACTGGCACCGCCGGAGACAGGACCGAAGGGGGCAGCGAAGCCTCTGTGCGCCGACCATCAGAGAACCCGGATGAACAGGGAAAGCTAAAAACACGCGGACTACCAAAACTGGCTCAAGGAGAAACGGGAAATCTGGCTAGACCTATAGACCTATGACAAAGAAAGAAACTGAGCCATTAATCAAAAAATTTCCCAACAACAAAAGGTCCCAGCTCAGATAGTATCACTGGTGAAATCCATGAAACGTCGAAAGGAGAATTAACACCAGTCCTTCCCGAACCCTCCCCCCAAATTAGAGAAGACGTCCCCGCTCACTGAACGAGACCGGTACTGCCCTGGAACCAAAGCCGGACGGCACATCGCAGGAACAGGAGACGGCCGACCAGCGGCCTTTGGTGGGACAGGAGAGACGCCAACGTCCTCGACAAAAAAACGAGCGGGCGCGTCCGGCCGCGTTTTCCAGGCTACACGCCACGACCGAGAGTGGCTTCTCCCAGGAACACGAGGGCGAAAATCGTTCAGCGCAACACAGCACCCCAACACGACGCGGGGCGCCAGCGTGCGCGTGTCAGCCGAGGACAGAAACGCTCGGTGCGTCAGGAACGGAAGGGCCCTTCCTCACCCCGACAAGGGCGTGGACGGGAACCTCAGCCGGCGTCACGGCAACGGCGGGGCCTGAACGGCCGGGGATCGGCGGCGAGACGGGCGGACTGTTCCCTCTCCCTCCCACGTTGCGCTGGAGACGCGGCCCAGGTGCTCAGGCAAAGGAAGAAGGGAAAGCCATCGGGTTTGGAAAGGAAGAAGTAAACTGTGTTTACCAACGACGTGATTTCTGTATTCGTAGGCACATAAATAAAAGTCCTAAATAACCCATGACAAACCCTGCCAGTGAGGCGCCCCCACTGTGGGCTTTGAGAGGCACGGCTGACCCCAGGTCAGGGGCAGGAAAAGCACGGGGAGGTGACATTGTGACTCCCATCAACAGCTGGGGCCAGGACGGAGGAGCCCACCTGAAGAAGCTGCCACTTGCCATAGTGGGGACACTTCGAGCCTCAACAAAGATCAGAATCACAATGGGTTGAAATTCATCAAACCTATTTAAATCCACGGGTCCTTGAGGACGTCAAGTTTTTTTTAAAAAAGTCAATCCATCATCTTCTCAGGACGAAAAAGAACCGATTCGTTATCGCAGGAAGTGAGGAAGCAGGACAGGAGACCCTGCCCGTGCCCTGCCCTCTGCAGCGGTGGCGTCGCTGGGAAGTGTCTCCTCATAGCACCCGGCTGACACACAGTGAGCCGATGGCACGGAGAGCCCTACTGAGCATGCGCACCGAGTCACAGAGCTCGCATCGAGCACGATGGCTACCGACGCCACAGGAGGAAACCTGGTCGTCGCGCGCCCACAAGCAAAGGACGGCAAGCGCCTGGCCTGGCCACGCGTGCGAACAAGTCCCTGGGCCCAGCTGCCAGCTTGCAGGAAATGGACGCCCGTGCCAGACTGCACCAGGGGTGCGTGGTGACGGCGTGACGCGTCCGGCCGTGCGGCAGCGGCCAGGAGGCCGGGAAAGGCCGGGAGGCGGGTGTGCGCGGCCACGCTCGGAGAGCAGCACTAAAGCAGAGTCACGCCAGCTGCACCTCAGGGATGAGCCTCAGAACGCAAGGAGGCGAGCACCACCGAGGTGGGGAGGCCGGCTGCCTCAGACGGAGAGGACGGGGCGAGGCGCACGGAGGGAGGGGCTCCCAGGGCGGCTGGCGAGTTTGCAGTTTTGATCTGACTGGTGAGCACGAGGGTGTGAAGCTGTTTCACGGTAGCGACGTCAACAGACAGTCCTGTCACCGCCTCCAGGCCCGGCTCCGAGCTCCCTGCGCACCCTGACGCACTCCACACTCCCCACGCCTGGCCAGCGGCCAGGAGCACAGAGGTAATGTTTTAACAGTGTGCGAAGGGCACTCGGTCCTGCTGGTCACCGAGCTAAGTCACAGTCAATGAAGACGCCACTCCCCGGCTTCCTGCGGGCATGATGTGCAGGCCGGTGTTACTGTGGGGAGAAGCATGGGGACTGGGGCCTTGTCGCACGGAGAGAGACGTGTGCCGTCTGCATGCTGGTTACTCACCAGGCACGGACGGGGACACGGATGGCGGTGCTCACAGAACGTGCTCTGTGACAGACAGAAGCTGGAAACATCACAAGGGGGCAGAATGAGGAAAACGTGGCACACTCACGAGAGGGACGACAGCAGCGGTTCGAATGCGGGAGGCAGTTCCGTAAGGATCGACGTGGACGTCTCTTGCAGACACGTTTAGTGACAAAAGCAAGTTGTGACGTGAGCCACACTGTAGGACACCGCTTAAAAAAACGCAAGCGCGCGTACCTACTATTCATAGACGCACCTGTCCGTAAAGAACCAACGTTCTGGAGACACGCACCGAAGCTGTGACAGTGACAGCCCTGGGAGGCTGTGACAGAGAGGGGGTCAGAGGGCACTCCCACATCACCCAGGGTATTTTAAAGAACCCACAACAAAGGTAGGAAGATCACATGTCAGCCCCGGGAGGTGGCCAGGTGGGTGTCTGCGGGGTAGGCGACACAGAAGCTGCGTCTGACAGCACGGTGGCAGTGAGGGTGTCGGCAGGGAGGCTCGGTGCCACTCCACGCCACCCCTCTCCGCAGTCACAGGGTCCACCCACGGGGCTGCCGCGCCGCTAACGTATGTGAAAGAGATTCTCGGAGCAGTGCCTGGCACAGAGGAAGCACACGGGGATGTGGGCACTCCTGTCCTCATGTGGCACACTGCACACGGACGTGGCGATGGGATGAAGGGGCTTAGTCCCTGTCCCTGGTCTGTGCTGGCGACACGGTGTGTCCGCTCTGAAAACTCGAGTACACTCTGATGGGCACACTTTTCTGCACGTCTGGTATACCTTAATGCAAGGAGGGAAGGACAGAGAGGAGGAGGAGGAGGGGGAGAAATGTGCCAAATAAGACTCTGGATCCAGCAAGAGTCTATTAAGAAATAAGATGACCAAAGAACTAGAGAGCTACTCTGGACCATTAAATAAAAAAGTAAATTATCTACTAGAAACTTCATTAAGTATTCCTCCCAAAATAAAAAGGAGCGAAACTAAAGTTATGCACTTAAAGAAAAGAAGAAACCACAACTACGGAAATCTGAACGTTGCGCAAAGTGCTGTCGGCAACTTTGTCAGGTGTGATGATACGCAGATCACCTTACAACGTCGGTATCAGGTTAGAGTTGCATCCCAAAGTATTTATAGGTAAAACAAAAAACCAATTTCTAGAATTTGCTTTAAAGTCGTGGGGGGAGGAAGGGGGAGCAGGGAGACCAGATGAAGAAAGGCTGGTGACGGGGACTGCGTGAGACCGCGGAGGCAGCGGGGGTCAGCGGGGGTCAGCGAACCAGCCTCTCAAAGTTTGTGAATGTGACTCAGAAGTTTAACTCTGAAGAATATAACTGGTGACAGGGGTGGAGAGTCTGTTCTTACCAACATCAGTCTTTGCTGCTTCTTGATTTACCAGGAAAATCCAAACGCAAGGGCCTCGCTGTAAGAACCCACCAGCACCCAGGCTCCCTGCCCGAGCACTCTGCTGGGCAGAGAAGGGAGGGGCGCCCGGCACAGAGGGCCCAGGAGGGCTTTACCTGCAGTTCTCCTTGAACCGGCACCTCCCCTCCAGGAAGAACGGGCAGGGCTTCAGGGATGCGTGGGTGGGGTACAGGTAGAGCACGCGGACGCCGGCCGAGCCATCGGCGGCCTCCTCCGTGCCCACGACCATGGCGTTGTGATACTCCAGGGTGCCCCACGGGCTGTAGTAAGGGGCGTTCACCTTCTGTCCACTCAGCTCTCCCTCGTCCTCCGAGTCCCCCCTTTCGTCCTCCGCGTCCTGTCCTTCGTCTTCCACCTGCCCAGGCTTGGTGGGCTCTGGCTCTGCGCCTCTGTCGGGGACAGTTTCCAATTCTGCCCTGGAGGCTAGTGGCACCTCACCGGCCTTCTGGAGAGCCGGGTACTCAGTGCCGTCCTGAGCTGGCTGCGCTCCATCCAGTGCAGCCAGCAGCTTGCTCTTTCGGACAGACACCAGGCTGGCCTCCGTGAGCTCGATCAGCTCCTTCAGGTCCCCCTGCAGCTGGCGCAGGTCCGCCAGCTCGGAGGGATCCAGGCCGGCGCCCAGGGCCAGCTCCACCTGCTGCAGCTGCGCGTCATAGGTGTGGAGGGCGGCCTGCAGGCTGTCCTCGTCCATTCTGCAGGGTCGTCAGAGCCGAGGCCTGGGAGCGGAGCTGCAAGCAAGAGAAGCCGGTGAGCGTCGGGCCCGGCCACCCCAACTCCCGGGCCCCGCGGTGAGGCGACCTCAGCCCTGTGCGACGGCTGCACTCGGGGCCCTCACGGCACCCTCACAACGCCTGCGGAACCGTGCGCGCGTCTCTGTCCCGCTTCGGCTGGGAGAGGTTAGCAGCTCCAAGCCCACAGGCCGGAACCGGACCTTGACCGCCGGCCCCAGGGCCTCGGCTGCCTTCCCAGCCACCCTTGGGTGTCGTCGCCGGGCTTCGTCGGATTCTCCGCGTCTCTGACCCGCGCCCCCGCCCCCGGCTCCGCTCAGGACGCTGCTTCCCCCCGTTGCCTCCCGGCCCTCGGCCTCGGCTGGACCTGTCACCTCCGGGCCGGGCCCCGTCGCCCAGACCGCGCCCCGCGCCCTTGGCCGGGAACCTCCTCCGCGCAGTCTCCAAGCCGAGTCATAGAGAGTCCGCCGCCCTCGTCGGCTAGAGCGGCCCGGCGCCCGGCTTCCGCCCTCGCCGCCGACCCGCACTTCCTCCCAAGCGCCGCGGCCGCCGGAAGTGCCTGCCGCGGGGGCCACCGGGACGGCTCCGGTCTTCCCG